GCTGCTGCCGCTGCCCCAGCACCCGCTCGCCGGGGGGGGCGGGGGGGCCGGCTGGCGCAACGGAGTCCCTGTGCCCGCCCATCGCGCCGTGGCTCTCTCCCTTCCCTCCGCAGTTGCCTTCTCTGCTCCTGGCAAAAAACCCCCACCACCACCCCGATCTCCCGGCGGTCCGCCTCGCCGGCTCCCTCACATACAGGAGCACTTCTACCCTTGCGCGGTAGCCCCGCTTCATGTGTGCATGCCTCTCTCACTTCGTCAGCCCTGAAGAGGGCCCCCCCCCCCGCGAGTATCGCGGATATCGCGGGTCCCTCTTCTTGTAACTATACACACACATATAAAAAGATAATTTTATATATAACAAAGTATAAAAGACAGAAAATATTTCTCTCCAGCGCTCCCTTCATTACATTGAAAAGTTTTGGGGACTTTGTCTATAACATACAACGATATTTACTTCTGATGGGGTGTCGCGGGTATCGCGGGTCCCTCTTCTTGTAACTATACACACACACACACACACATATAAAAAGATAATTTTATATATAACAAAGTATAAAAGACAGAAAATATTTCTCTCCAGCGCTCCCTTCATTACATTGAAAAGTTTTGGGGACTTTGTCTATAACATACAACGATATTTACTTCTGATGGGGTGTCGCGGGTATCGCGGGTCCCTCTTCTTGTAACTATACACACACACACACACATATAAAAAGATAATTTTATATATAACAAAGTATAAAAGACAGAAAATATTTCTCTCCAGCGCTCCCTTCACTACATTGAAAAGTTTTGGGGACTTTGTCTATAACGTACAACGATATTTACTTCTGATGGGGTGTCGCGGGTATCGCGGGTCCCTCTGCTTGTAACTATACACACACACACATATAAAAAGATAATTTTATATGTAACAAAGTATAAAAGACAGAAAATATTTCTCTCCAGCGCTCCCTTCATTACATTGAAAAGTTTTGGGGACTTTGTCTATAACATACAACGATATTTACTTCTGATGGGGTGTCGCGGGTATCGCGGGTCCCTCTTCTTGTAACTATACACACACACACACACACATATAAAAAGATAATTTTATATATAACAAAGTATAAAAGACAGAAAATATTTCTCTCCAGCGCTCCCTTCATTACATTGAAAAGTTTTGGGGACTTTGTCTATAATGTACAATGATATTTACTTCTGATGGGGTGCCTTTATATCCATCTCTTTACATTTCAGGTGTCACAACTAGTATGTTTCGCAGCTACATTCTTAGTTTTGTCATTGTTACATACTCCGTATTACAAGTTTTTGCCTCTTCTGCAGACTCGCTATTTCTTTTAATGTGAGTTGACTCTCTGTGAATTTATGCAAGAATGGGGGAGTGTCTTTTGCTGTTGCCTCCCACCCTGCCTTACACCTCATTCAGTTCCCAAGGGGTCCCGCAGCTCTCAAGAGCTGACTTTTTTTGGGGGGGGGGGGGGAGTCCATTCTGTGAATTCATCCTACTCACAATTCACTGAATCCTATTCTTCTTATATATAGACGGTCTTGCGTCCTAATGACCTGACTGCCTTTCTAGGTAACACCGATTTCCCTGACCTCAAAGCACCTGCAGAGGCTGAAGAACAACATCATGGTCATAGAAGCCTGGAACAAGAGGCCCAGCCCGGGAGGAGACCAGCTGCTGGGGCTGGTGAAACTTCCGCTGCATCAGTTCTACATGTCGTTCAAGTAAGGAGCATCCTCTTAAATCCCATTTGTTCACTGAGCTGTGGCTGCTGTGATCTTCTTCTGCTACGATCTGCTATGATCTTCCCCACGCCTCCACCTGCAGCTGCTGGTATAGTCTTGGGTCAGTCACAAGTTCTTTCGGAGCTGTTCTCTCAGGAGCAGTCCTCGAAAGAGCTCTCTCAGCCCCACCGACCTCACAGGGTGTCTGTTGTGGGGAAGGGAAGGGAGAGGAGTTTGTAAGCCGCTCTGAGACTCCTCTGGGTAGCGAAGGGCGGGGTAGAAATCCAATCTCCTCCTCCTCCTCCTCTTCGAATCATGACTGAATTCTCTAGAAGCTAAAATGAGCAAACTGAGGCTTTTGTATTTTGGTGACACCATGAGAAGAGTCGCGCTAGGAAAAGCAGAGGTAAAGGTAAAGGTTCCTTTGCTCGAAAGCCAGTCGAGTCCGACTCTAGGGTTGCGGTGCTCATCTCCATTTCAAAGCCGAAGAGCCAGCGCTGTCCGAAGACGTTTCCGTGGTCATGTGGCCGGCATGACTAAACACCGAGGCGCACGGAAAAGCAGAAGGCAGCAAGAAAAGAGGAAGTCCATTGCCCAATAATATTATCCCGAACGGCAAAGCACTGGGGAGGGGGCCATATGATAGAAAAGATGAGCTGCGGTCTGTGAGGCTGCCAGTTCGAATCCCACCTTGGCCACAAAGTGAGCAGCTCCCTGTTCTCTCTCGTCCTCAGCTTCTCCACCCCAATATGGGACAGTGACAGCACCGGAATTCCCCACTGTTCTCTGTCTCAACGTATATAATTTTCCCTATCCGCACAAACTTCTGTGAAGCCCAGCGGCATACGGTCCTTCGCACTGCACGACCAGGATCCGCATGAGTTATGCCCCCCGTCACGTTTCCCTGTCTCCGTCCTTTCCAGGGACCCCAAGATCTCCGCCCTGCTGCTTCAGGCTCAGTATCCGGTAGTTGCCGTGGACGGCTCTTTGCCCGTGGTCGACGTCTTCGCTGGCCACAGAAACGGGAGCCTGAAGGTCCTTCTGGCCATGGGCTCGGCTGACCAGATCGTGGCCCTGCAGAGGCTGAAGAACGAAGAAGGGGCTGTGCCCCCCGGCGTGCAGCGCTCTGCGCATGCTCTGGATCCCCCGGCGACACCGCTTCCAAAGGTATTTTCGGATAACTGTTAGTTGGCTTACTCTCTCCCTCCCTCTTCTTTATGGATTCAGGCTTAAGCCAGTTTGGTGTCGTGGTGAAGTGTGCGGACTCTAATCTGGGAGAACCGGGTTTGATTCCCCACTCCTCCACATGCAGCTGCTGGATGACCTTGGGCAAGCCGTAGTTCTGATAAGAGCTGTTCTCGAAAAAGAGCCGTTTCTGTCAGAGCTCTCTCAGCCCCGCCTACCCCACAGGCAATGTTCCCTCTAAGCTGAGTTAGTGTGACAAGCTTCAGTGTGTCACTAAGAGCTTTGGGGGAAGACATTATAGAGATGTCGTGTTGATCCACATGATTGTCGTTCCTGCAGTGCTCAGTCAAGAGATTGGTGCTGAACAGAGAGAGTTGATAAAGATATTCGAAACCGCTTGTTAATCCCAGGAAAGCGTGCTCTCTTTATCTCTTGTATTCCTTGGATCCACACGTTGCTAAAGGAAGGAGTGATAAATGCCATTCCGGAGCTTGAAAAACGAATACTTTCTCGTCTACGTTTCCACTTCATAGCTGTATCAAGACGCCTTGAAGAGAAAACATTCCAGGAACACAGTCTAAACAGTGTCAAGAACATTTCCATAAAGCTTTTGTATTGTACTCACACTAATCAGTGTTCCCTCTAAGCTGAGTCAGTGTGAGCTAGCTCACAGTTTTTTAGCCTCCGGCTCACACTTTTTTGTCTTCGCTCAGGAAGGGATGGCTCCGGAGCAAAGCAATTTATGCAGCAGCCAAATCGCTCGCTCACAACTTGAATGCCAGTCGCTCACAAAATAGAATTTTTGCTCACAAGATTCCACAGCTTAGAGGGAACATTTATCTACTGGCTTTGTCTGTGTTTATGGCATGTACTTTACATAATGATGATTGTTGAGTAATATAAGAAATTTGCATTATAAACATTATAAAAAGTACAACCAAGTGTGTTAAAGTCATAGAACAGTGGTTTACTTCGGTGAGCTTATTTTGTTTTTCCCATAGTTCTGACATAGTTCTGACAACTGCTTGAAAGGGCAGTTCTTGAAAGAGCTCTCTCAACCCCACCTACCTCACAGGGTGTCTGTTGTGGGGAGCGGAAGGGAAAGGAGTTTGTAAGCCGCTCTGAGTGAAGGATGGGGTATAAATCCAGTCTCTTCTCTTTTTCTTCTTATAGACACTTAAGTGAAGAAATAGCTTCCTTTTGCTTATCTTAAACTTGCTGCCTAGCAGGGGTCATTTCCTGTGGGAGCGCACAGGAGCAGAGCTCCGGCAGTAAGGAGCACATGCATCAAGCCCCACCCCCTGCTCCCAGCAGCCCTCAGTTGGGCCACGAGGAGCAAGAAGCAGCCAAGTAAGTTGCAGAGCGCCCCCCCCCACCCCTCTGTAAAGTGCCCAGGGGGCGGGCACATGCAACAAGCCCCGCCCCCTGCTCCCAGCAGCCCTGGGCCACAAGGAGCAAGAAGCAGCCAGGTAAGTTGCAGAGTCCCCCCATAGCTACCAATCCAAAACAGTCCAGTGGCACCTTTAAGACCAAGTTTTATTCAGGTACAAGCTCTCCCTCCTCTGTGAGGGCAGATCTGCACGTCCCCCCCCCCCAATAGCTAGCAATCCAAAACAGTCCAGTGGCGCCTGAGCGGTGGGTGTTGCCTTCTGACACACTTCTGGTGATGTCAGGGGGTGTGGCATATGCAAATAAGCTATGCTAATAGGTTATGCTAATAAGCTCCTGCACCTCTTTTTCTACGAAACGACCCCTGCTGCCTAGTACCAGGAAGATGGCACGTTTGTTCAGCGCACAGCCCTCCGGCTGTCGAACTTACATATACCTCTTGAAAGATCACAAGCAGTGGTATATAAATTCAGTTAGTTTATTCAGAGGAAATCTCGAATCAAGATGAGACGAGCCGTGGCCATTTCTTACAGAGTTACAGACCCCATGAAATCGGTTGTCTTTTCAAAATGATTCAACGTGATCCTCCCCATATAGAAAGATCACTGAATACAGAGAGTCGCCCATCCACAAAGACATAGCTGGCGCTGGCCTATCCAGACTAAGATCCCGATACCCAGCAATAAGATTTGCACAGATCCGGCAATCACAAGATTTCGATCTGGAGAATGAATGGTTTGCGAACGTAGATGCGGTCAGTCCCACCCAATATCCGTAACTCGATAAACACCGATGAGAGGCCTGCAGGATTTGACTTGCCACGTAAAGTATGGAAGACGGCTAATAGAATACGAACAGGCTTTGGCAGTTGCGCAGACCTGTTGTTTAAATGGGGCAAAATGCCAGGGCCCCAATGCAATGGAGGTACAGTCCGCCAAACTATTTTCCATCTGTCGCAGGAATGTGAGCATCGTGCTCTCCAGGGAGATGTTACGGAGCTCTTTGAACTCTTCCCCCGCCGCGATTGAGTAGATAGAAAATTTAGATCCGTATTTAGTGGGATTGGCCAACTGGTCTGCATTCCCGTTGTATCATCTTGGTCCCATATTTTATATTATTATACACTTCCTGTGTGTAACTCTGCCATATGATAAATAAATTAATCCCTCCCCCCATAATGTTTCGGTCCAAGCAGACCTAAGGAGACCTCTGGGTGATGGGTTTCTAATGTCTGTTTCTAATGCCTTTGGGGGAGCTCACGGGTGGGGCACATGTGCAGTATGTTGGAACCAGGCGTCGTTTCGTAGAAAAAGAGCTAGGGGAACTCATTAGCATAACTCATTAGCATATGCCACACCCCCTGACATCACCGGAAGTGTGTCATGAGGCCACACAGCCCTGACATCACCGGACGTGTGTCATAAGGCCACACCCACCACTCAGTTAGTCTTAGTCTTAAAGGTTAGTCTTAAAGGTGCTATTTGTTAATCTTAAAGGTGCTGTTTGAACTCTTGGACTATTTTGCAGCAACAGACTAACACAGCTACCTCGGGGAAGCTGCTGGATGGGGCTGGGAGTTCTTGCAGAGGCCACGTGGAGTGGCCTCGGCCAGGCACAGGGGGAGGACACCAACTTACCCTCCTGCTTCTTCCTTCCTCTGCAACAGAATGAGGCTGGAAGAAGGGGGCGGCTGGAAGAAGGGGCAGGGCTTCGTCGTGTGCCCCGCCCCCTGCACCTCACCCGGGGGAACTGCAATCCCCCCCGAAATGACCTCTGGTTGGAACTGTCATTTATATAATTTATTTATTTATATCTTGCCTTTCTCCACAGTGGGGGACCCAAAGCACCTTATGTCCTTCTCCTCTTCTCCGTTTTATCCTCACAACAACCCTGTGAGGTAGGCGAGGCTGATAATGTGTGACTGGTCAAGGTCACCCAGCAAGCTTCCACAGCCAAAGTGGGGATTCGAACCTGGATTTTCCAGATCCTGTTCTGACGCTGTAACCACTATACCGCGCTGGCTCTCCTAGAGAGGTGTCCTTTGTAGTGGCCTCCACACTCTGGAACTCCCTTTCTCAGGAGGCCTATCAAGGACGAAGCCTTTTTGAGTCTATGAGAACTTTCTTTTTGGCATGGTTTCGGGGAGGAATTGAAAACCATTGGTTTTGCCCGGCTGTTTTGTGTGTGTGAGACTGTGTGTCAGGTTCCACAGCCAACAACGGACTACAAAAGGTTATACTTTATTGAAGAGCTATAGATGCATTATCAAAGGCATTGTTAAGAATGGCATCGCCCCTACAAGCATAATGGGATATAGAGTATTCGTATGCAACCCCCCCCCCTCCTTAGGCCAGTTAGCCACTTCCCACACGCGGGAGAAGGAGCCCCAGGCTGTTAGAGCTGAAGCTGAGAACCGAAAGCGCTCCTATGGTTCCCTAGAATCCCAGACACTACACACCACCTGCAAGGCCATAGATAAGCGAGCATTACAGAAGCCAAAAAGGAATGCAGCAGTCCTGGCAAGCGAGCACCCCACACCCCCAACCCTTATGGCAGCATAGCTGACATTCTGCCCTCTCAAAACCCAGCTTCTCCTGTCCACTCCGGGAGGTCTCCCGGTTTGTCCGGAAAGTCGCTATGAAACTTCCGTAACAACCGAGGGGCCCGAATATCCCCTGCTTCCACCCACTCGAGGTGCTGGGGACCAAAGTCCAGCCATTCAACCAAATACAACAATTTTCCACGTTGAATCTTAGAGTCCAGAATCTTCGAGATCTCATAATGTTCCTCGCCCTCAATCAAGATAGGAGGGGGTACCGACTGCGATGGACGCCAGGGACTTGACCTATCATAGAATCATAGAGCTGGAAGTCTAGATCTTGCACGTAGGGGAGAGTCTTGCCGCCCTGTTTCACTGGGATTGAATTTTGTCTCGGGCAGCTGTCCACAGGGGGAGAAGGGCTCATGGAGCACGTCTTTGAGGTCCACATCGAGAGCGTGAAGGGGCTCACTCCGCTCCAGTCCACAGTCTGGGGAGAGGCCGACTGTTACGTCCAGTATCATTTCCCGGTTCAGGAGTCGGAGACCAGCGTGCTGCGCGGGACGGAAGTCTACGAGAGCGGTGGGTTCCGTTTGCATAAGACCTGTCTGCCAGTCGATCCACTCTGTTGGTTCCCAAATATTTCTTTTCCAGTTCCTTGGCTGAACTTTCTGTAGCAAGGGACGAATAGCAGAAGTGAGTTTCTAAACCGGGCATGCTTGCGTTTTAATATTTATTTTTAGAAAATCAGTTTCCGAGGGCAGTTGCGTCGGTCCGCAGTCAGACAACTTGATTTGAGTTCCGGTAGCGTTTTAGAGACCAGCAAGATTTTCAGGGTATACGCTTTCGCAGGGCTCTTTTCGTAGCAGGGACTCCTTTGCATATTAGGCCACACACACCCCAATGCAGCCAATCCTCCAAGAGCTTACAGAGCTCTTCTTACAGGAGCTACTGTAAGCTCTTGGAGGATTGGCTACATTAGGGGGGGTGTCGCTTAATATGCAAATGAGTACCTGCTACAAAAAGAGCCCTCGAGAGCCAAAGCTTTCTTTGTCAAGGTTCTTAGGGAGTGTTGATTAACAAGTGGATCTATAGAATGCACGAAGCTGTCCTTGATATTACATGTTAGCTGCTAGCACTTGAATATGTTGTAAGTTAGTTTTAATGAATTGTTATTGAACTGTCTGATGAATTGTTATTTATTGTTATTGTGTTTTTATGATGTTAGCCACCCTGAGCCTGCCTTGGCGGGGAGGGCGGGGTACAAATTTGAGGAAATCAATCAATCAATCAATCAAAAGCTTATACCACACAAATCTTGCTGGTCTCTAAGGTGCTACTGGACATGAATCTTGTTGTTTTTTTAAAAAGAATCCAAGGGTCCTAGCCAGTGTTCCCTCTAAGCTGAGTTGGTGTGAGCTAGCTCACAGTTTTTTAGCCTCTGGCTCACACATTTCCACCCCGGCAATTTTTCCCGGTCGTTTTCTCCACGGAAGGGGCGACATCTATAATGGGGTATAGTGCTCAAATTCTCTTTTTCCTTTTCAATGTGATGCACCACTTTATTCCAAAAAGAAATTTAAAGATTCTGGACTTCCGGTACGGCGCGACAACGGGCGGACGCTCTGCAGAGCTGCCCGATCCACCGTCGTTCTTTTGCGAGGCTCCCGGGGGTCCGGGAGACCGCGCCCACCCTTCCCGGAGAGAGGGATGGAGTAGGGGGCGCTTTTCTGGCCCCTCCCGTAACAGGCAAAGCGGGGGGGGTGGCCAGAATTGCCCCGAAATGGGAGCGACGGAAGGAGAAGAACATGGCTGCCATGCTCTCCTTAGACGCGGCCATCCGGCTCACTCACAACTTGAAGGCCAGTAGCTCACAGAGTAGAATTTCTGCTTGCAAGACTCCACAGCTTAGAGGGAACATTGCTCCTAGCTGAAATAGTTCAATCGAATTCAATAAATAATTTTTAAAAATAGTCATCGTATGGCACTGTGTGTGGCATAGCCAGGAGATCCCAAAAGATTATTTGGCTGCCTGACAGTGGCATGTGTGATTGGAAGAGGTGTGATATGTAGAGAGGTAGTAAGTGTGAGACAGAAAACCTAGGTCTCGATTCAGTCCAGGTGGATCCCCCTGGACTGAATCGAGACCTAGGTTTCCTGTCTCATTCCCGGTGCTGATTTCTCCACACCTGCCATCCCACTGCAGATTATACCTAGCCCTACCACACCTGCTATTGTCATTTGCCTGCTAATGTCATTTGGCATCTGAAATCGCTCCATTTCCCAATACATGGGACAGATGGACTCCCATTCTAGCTGTGCCTGAAGAAGTGCGCAGTGACTCACGAAAGCTCACCCCCTGCCACGTATTTTGTTAGTCTTTGAGGTGCTGCCGGACCCTTGTTCTGAACCTTGAATGGTTTTGACTCTTTCTTCCCTCTGACACTTTACCAGGTGTGTGTCCCTTGAGCCGCTCAGCCTTCTTCACTCCTTAACCCCCTTCATGCGCTCCAATCGCTTGACCCCCTCTCCACAGGTCTTCGGCTGAAGCCGTTCCGCTCAGCAACTACCCTCTGCATCCCGGACCCCGTTTTCAATGACGAGCGGCATCACTCGTTGCTGGTCCCTGCAGACGTCCCAGTCCAGAGGCTGCTGCTCAGTGCTTTCTCCGCACAGGGGTTACCCGGAGGAGGAGGGATCCAGTTTGAAGTCTGGTGCAGGTAGGTACGGCTAAGCTTCCATCCTCCCTGCAGCTGGAGCATGCCTTTCATACAGTATTAGAGTATAAGAATGTGAGAAGAGTCCTGCTAGATCAGACCAGTGGTCCACCTTCTCAAGCATTCTGTCTCACACAGGGGCCAACCCAGCTCCTCTGGAGGGCCAGCAACAGGGCAGAGAGGTCATAGCTTTCCCTTGATAAGAACATTAGAAGAGCCCTGCTGGGTCAGACCAGTGAGGATCCATCTAGTCCAGCATCCTTTCTCACACAGTGGCCAACCAGTTCCTCTGGAGGGCCAACAAGAGGGCAGAGAGGCCAAGGCCTTCCCCTGATAACAGAAGCAGAGCCCTGCTGGATCAGACCAGTGAGGATCCGTCTAGTCCAGCCTCCTGCCTCACACAGGGGCCAGCCAGTTCCTCTGGAGGGCCAACAACAGGGCGTTGAGACCGAGGCCTTCCCCCGATAAGAACCTCAGAAGAGCCCTGCTAGGTCAAAGCAGTGAGGGGCCATCTAGCCCAGCATCCTGTCTCACACAGAGGCCAGCCAGTCCCTCTGGAGGGCCAACAACAGAGCAGGGAGGCCAAAGCCTGCCCCTGACAAGAACATCAGAAGAAGAGCCCTGCTGGATCAGACCAGTGAGGGTCCATCTAGTTCAGCATCCTGTCTCACACAGTGGCCAAGTAGTTCCTCTGGAGGGCCAACAACAGGACAGAGAGGCTGAGGCCTTCCCCTGATAAGACCCTCAGAAGAGCCCTGCTGGATCAGAGCAGGGAGGGTCCATCTAGCCCAGCATCCCGTCTCACACAGCGGCCAACCAGTTCCTGTTGAGGGCCAGCAAGAGGGCAGAGAGGCCAAGGCCTTCCCCTCATAAGACCCTCAGAAGAGCCCTGCAGGATCAGACCAGGGAGGGTCTATCTAGTCCAGCATCCTGTCACACACAGGGGCCAGCCAGTTCCTCTGGAGGGCCAACAACAGGGCAGAGAGGCCGAGGCCTTTCCCTGATAAGTGGCGGCATTGGTGTCTTTGATGGGAGGCAGTGGGCGGGGGGGAGGCTGGACGACTCCCCCCCTTCAGCAGGTTGTCCCTGTTCCAAGCACCCTCGGGCGCCACGCTCAAACTTCCGCTGCCTATCTGCCCCTCACCTACTCCACGGAGTGGCCCAGGGTGGCTTCGGCTGCAATTTGGGGAACCCACCCCCATAACAGACCCATGGAACCACAACACCTTAATGCCTCTTCTGTTTCTTCTCTTCGGCAGGTATTACTACCCTAACGTCCGAGACCAGATGGTCGCCAGAGGGACCTTGTCGCTGTCACGCCTGTGCGCCATGGTGACCACGCAGCGACGAGAAGAAGTGGGGATCCAGACCTTTAGCCTGCCCTTGATCCCCAGAACCGAGGGCTCAGGGGAACCCAAATCCTCAGGTAACAGAAGACTCGGCCTCCCAGGTTCTTCAGCAAGTCTGGGGTTCACCCAGGAGAGGACCTGGCATGAGCCAGTTTGGTGTAGTGGTTAAGTGCTCAGACTCTAATCTGGGTCAGTGGAAGAGCG